AGTACGTCCAAGAAGTAGACTCTACATGAATTACTTATGCTGGCTGCTTGTGATTGGCCGATGGCGTCACTATACGCCCAGTCACGCCTCCAGGCAGGCCCATGCGTCGCTTATCTGCTTGGTCCGATGCCCTCGACGATATAGCTCTTAAAGCCCCTCTGATGATGTCTGTAATATCTCTCCTCTTACGCATAAATTACTTGATTATGAACTGAAGTGCTCTAAAGTGTTTACACAAATGTAATCAATGATGTTGCGAATTTGTTCACAAAACACGATTTCTTGTAATTATAATTCCTTGTTTCCGTAGAGACATTTCTTTGTTCTGGTACTGTAAAATACGATAACAATTACATTCATATTCACAGTATGTACACATTCTAAGACTCTTGGGCCGTGGTATGTTTTGTTTTGCAAACGAGGTGATGAAAAATGTATACCGCCAATTTTGTAAACCAGTGTATTTCCTCAAAGTTTTGTTCCTTCAAAGTTAGGTTGACGTGAGTCTGTACTTGGATCTGTTGTGAAAAATAGTGGTCAGGTCTCGTCTCTTTCCTGTCATAGTTTTGAGATGAACCTCATAAAAAACTTCTGTGGATGGTGGAAAGAACCTATGTATTCAAGTCCTAAAGCAAAAAAGGTTTCTCAGGCAAGACACTAGATGGGACCTAGTAGTTTTTGCTTGTCCGAGGATACTTTTCAAATAATTATTATACTTTTTCAAAGGTAGTGAGATTACTTATTGGTCGGTGCACCCAAGTGATTTCTATGTCTTATGCCAAAATCGGCATTATTTTGCCTTTAATACAATAATTCTATTGGTGTGTTCAGTGGTAGCGTTTGTGTATTTTTATTATCACCAATTACCCTCATTAACTGCGCAGATTTTTGTACTACGACCTTTATGAAACTCGGATGAAGAGTTTTTGCTCAGATGAGGAGTAAATTACAGTTATTTGAACCCTGAAACTTGTAAATGCATAAAATATTCACTTTGCGAATATTTCCTGCATTTGATATTCTTCCTTTTCTTCTGAAAATCATCTCTTTTTAATTGTGTTAAATGTAAATTTTGCAGGTTTATGTAAATTACTTTCTCTTCTACTCGAAGAAGCCTTGTCGAAGACATGAAATGAAAATAACAAAAGTCATTTACGAAGTTATTCGCTCGATCTCACCGTTGGAATTGTACATTGAAATCTTTGGTCACAGGCTGAATTTTAGAAAGGAATTTCCTTTTCTTTTTCAACACAAAACTTTGAAGAATGAATTATATTCTTACCCTAAGTTCTAATTACAAGATTTCAAAGTTTCTCTTTTCAGTTGACGTTTTTTTGACTGAATTTCTGTCATTTGGATTGTTGTAAAAATCAATCTGGTGAAATAGTTACATATACATTTTCCCTTCAACAACGTAACCATGAAATCTTCACAAAGCGAACTTAAGCATCACAAGTCTACGTTTAGATTTCGTAGAGAATGATGCAGATTGGGGTTTCACTTGTTTTTATGCATATACATATAATATAATGCACACACATGTAATATCACTTTAATATCATCCTACATTTTTAAATGTTATTTTTCTTCCGTAAAGAAGTTTTGAAAATGAATTACCCTTTTGGTAGATATCGAAATTACATATGATCCACCAGCAAAGGTGGCTCAGAGCATTATTTATTTACTTATTTACGTCAAAAACCGTTACAAACGATGTGTGACGTGCTATTGGGAAAAAAGTTTTTTGAAGTTACATTTATGTCCAGAAGCAAAATAACGGGCCATCTCAGCATTTGCTCAAGCATCAGGAAAACTGGACGACGCCACATCAACTGATGTCACTGCTGTGCCTCTGACTGAGAAGTCCTAGAGTTCGAGTCCCGTCGCTGGCAGGATTTCCGAAACTAGTTACACAGCTGCGACGAACTCACCCGCTGTCTGGAGGAGAACTGTAGCGGCCGGCTGCCTGCTCAGTAGTTTTCTGTGATTTCTTCGATCAACATCACGCGAATATCGCAGAAGTATCCTATCAAACGGGTCACGGGTCGCGCGCTATTTGTCTTTCCTCTTCTTTGTCTTTCCCCCGTTCTTTCACACACTTTAACTCACATGCACTGCACTACATGGCACGAGACCAGTCAGGAACTTAGAGCTTGTCCCGGTTGGGGCGATGCCGCGCTGGTGGGAGATAAGATACGATGCTGGGGAATATCCCTGCAAGCCGATGTAGGTCGGTCCCGGATTTCACCAACCTGTAGGTTTAACACCGCCACCTCCGGCGATAGAAAATATACACTACACTTACGGGACTAATCACCTTATTTGTTGACGCGCCTAAAATCACGAAGTAGTCAAATGACCTTTCCTCTGTTCATATTACGTTTCTTTACCTGTGTACGTAACAAAATATTGTAGAAAGTATTTGAACTCATCTCTTGAAATGGCGAAAGATTTTTGTCTAAAGACATTTGTACAATATATGAATACGCTGTAACGATATCTAGGTATATCAAGTCTAGATTGTATGTACTAATACTACAGCAAATCAACTGTAGACCGATTTTTCCGTATGTTCTACCAGAATTGTGAGAGACTCATTCAATCCATCTCGATTAGTTTTAGTCCCGTTTGCCTCGTCCTTGAGCAAATGCTGAGATGGCCCTTTGTTTTGCTTCTGAACATAAATGTAACTTCAAATTAACTTCTCCCCATAGCATGTCACACATAGTTTTTAACTGTTTTGGCGTAAATAAATAAACATTTTGTTTTGTCGATGAAGTTGAGGCTTGCATAGTAAAGTGTGGATGTTCAAAAATTCCTCTGTTAGCTATAGCGCGGTCTTCAGAATATGAGGATTTCAGAAATAGCCACTTTCTGGAAACACCAGCAGGTGACCTCCTTCCAGAGGTCACCAGCAACAATTACTCTTTCCGTGACTTACACAAAAGACAGCGTTGTTCTACGACGTGTAATTTTGGACACCCGCGTAACATATTTTTGCAATTAGTGTCACCAGAATACAACCTCCACAGCTTGAGAGTGGCTGAATTCAGGCTGCCAGAAACACGATTCGGGGAAGAGAAGTCTTTATAAGTGTTTTTAAATAATTAGTATTCACGACGATTTCAGTTATCTATTATCCACCAGATTTCGAGGGCTAGTAAGTCATTCATGTTTTCATCTTCACTTCTCTTTGTCTGTCTCTCTTTTTAACTTCTTTCCTTTCGTGCGGGGAGGGGCGTCGATGCCAGGTAAAGACGAAGCCAGGACCGAAATGCCTTGATCCTCCTATACGGGAGTTGAGGCGATGGGTCTGCATCTCATCACTCGGAAAAAAACTACACATGCAAAATTTCTCAGCAAAGCCTCGGAATATGGTGAACATAATAGACGACGACTTTGGGCTAGGGAAAGGACAATGAGAACTGGAACTTGGAGTATTCGCGTGCTATCAACCGAAAAGAAATTGATAAGAATCGACTGGATATTGTAGCATTTTCAGAAACAAAGAAAACAGGTTCAGAACAGAAGGGGGGGTGTATACATATTTACTCAGGAGGTTCCAAAGAGAACGCCGTAGCGGTGTATCATTGGCATTGTATCTTGAAGAAGCATTTAAATATTTGAAAAGGAAGTGTTACGGGATGGAATTATCAATAAAATTCATGCACTGCACACTCAGCTGCTTGCCGATGATCAAGTGGTCATAGCTCGAGACGAAGATGATGCAAATTTTACGTTACACAAATAACAAGAGGAGAATGAAAGCTGGGGTCTCATTATAAATATTAAAAAACGGATATGGATATATGATAGCAGGAGATAAAGAACATGGGGATAGGACAGGAAAAGAGAGTAATGAGACAGTTAAAGTCTATTCTCTGTAGCAAAAATATCACAAAACGGAAGAAGGCTCATATTTTTAAGACCATCGTACAGAGCAGATGTACCTATGGACCTGAAACAGGGACATTGGACAAAAGGAATTAATGTAGGTTGAAGGCCCTTGAAATGGACTACTGGAGAAGGAATAAGGTGTTTGTCCTCGGAACTTCGAGGACGGTACAGAATTGCCAGTGGAGGTAGCTACATACCATGTCGTGTCTTTTGTCTTTGCTAGAATTGGACAAGCTGAGACGATATGATCAATGGTTTCAACTAGTTTCTTGCAAATACATTTATCATCTTGGAAAAATTTGAGAGCAGTTTTATCATAATGCGTGTTCTGAACGCCTAATTGGGGCAGCTATTACAACTGCTTAGATTCTGGCTTCATTCTTTCCCTTTAAGCCACATAAATGATTGATCTTTATTTTGCCTGCACCTTGTTCATTCTTTTTAGTTGTCCATGGAGTGGACAATTTCTTAAAATTGTTTGCTCTCGCATTTCATGTCAAGTAGCATCAGAATTTCAGTGTATGCGTTATCCTGCGTGTCTTGCATAGTCTTCGCAATGCTTCTTGGTACATTTACAATACCTCAGTTTCCCTTTCATTCATACGGATACCCGTATGATACGTATACCCGTATTATGAAGGTACCCGTATCGTACGGGTCGCCCGTATAACACGGCCATAATAACGAAATGGACGGAACGAACGAAAAGGATGAAATGAACAAAAGTACGAAATGGAGGAAAAGGACGAAAGGGCAAAAGGTCGATAGAACGAAATGGATGGAAAGGACGAAACTTTTGAAAAGGTTGAAAATGAATTGGTAGAAAGAACAGGGCTTTTTAAGAGTAGTTTATTGAGCATATTTGGCATTTGATTTGGTCATCAAAATCCGCCCCCTACCCATGATATCTGGTTACTCATCAGCGATGAGGGCCTTCAAAGTTGTTTTAAGTTTACAATTATCCAATTATAAACGAGTATTTTTGTACGAAAAAAATGCAAGGCAACAGTAAATCTGAAACGTGCGGCTATGATGTAGGTGTAGTAAAACCGTTCCCGATAAGTGAATAACACGGTGCGGCGTGCCGTGGTGTGGTGTTGCAGGACTGCCAACACTCTACGAATTCTACACGAGCGGCGGCGTGACGGAGGGCTTGGAGGCGGAGAACAGGCAGTTCACTCTCAACGGGCGGCCCCTCTCGCTGTTCAGCGGCGCTCTGCACTACTTCCGGGTGCCCCCCGCGCTGTGGCGCGACCGCCTCAGGCGCATGCGCGCCGCCGGCCTCGTCGCCGTCGAGACGTGAGTACTTTTGCAACATACACCTTATTCACAGCAAATAGATATACAGAACCTGGAACATTCGGTAGACATTCCATTGCCTACACTTCCGGAGATTTCGCTTGGGCCTGACAGCTCGCGAATGCATAATGTAGTGTTCAAATTAAACAAGTTCTCGCTTTGCTCGAGGAGTGTCTTATCCGATGTGTTATATTCAGCGGAAATGTTAATTGTCGTTTCGGGAGCTCTCTTACGTTTCGTTAGAAACTCGTTGATTGTTTACGGACACGTCAACGGCTATGGTCATTAGTCCCAGTAATGTAAGAATGTTTTATTTCTGTCGGAGTCCGGATCACAAGATTCGGCGCCAACCTTCGCGGAAGCTTCAGAGGATTTGTGGTATCTTCATTAGGTGTTATTGCCAGTGGGACACCGCGGCAGCCGGGACAAGCTCTAAGCCCTGGATAGATCTCCCGTCGTGCACAGAAATGTTCCGCGCAGTAGGAACCCTGCGTGGACTGTGTACCCCACACCAACACTTGTTCTATCAGGCCGAACTACTCCCCCGGGTGGGCACTTGAGCGTTTCACTTTTAACGGCGGCGCACAGGCGCCCTGCCAGCGCGGAGCTATTAGCTTTCCGGGCTAGTACCGGAGTCGAATCAATGCGCCGTGACAAGCCCCTTCGCGATTCCCAGAGCATCGGGCCACTGCCAGGACGAAGAGGGAGCCACCCGTCACAAGGAGACACGCGTCTGCTTACTGCCACACCTTTGGGCTATTGACGTGAGTAGACAACCTGGCGGATGGTATCAGGTTCCCGTCGGACTTCTCTGCGTGGATTCCAAAGCATTCCGAAGAATCTCCTTCGCCTAATCCTGCCCTAAGGTATACGCGCCATAGGCCCGACTGGGGGTTACCGGACAAGCCGCCGAGTGCCGCCTTAAAACTCAGAGGCCGTCTACAACTGTCCACTAGAGACTGTGACTAACGCAGTCGCGACCCACCCTCCGAGGAACGTTCCGCACAGTCCGCGACTCCTTTAGGATTCCACATCTTCGCCTGGTATTGATGGGAGAAACAGAGGAAAACTACCGATTAGAGCAACCGCTCTCTGAAATTCTCCTGCCGGCAGCGACCGAATTCGAACTAGCTGCGTAGCTTGGCGGTCGACGCCAAATCTCATTATCCAGCGAGGGAAGAACGCTGCCACCTCTCGGCCTAAAAACATTGACCACCCAAACGGAATTAATGACCATAGCAGTTCACGTGCCCGGAAACGTCGATTAAGCTAACAATCCATCTGCCACAATATGTAAAACACGGGAGAGTATGAGCGTTTCTTGTACAAAATTTACGTCTTGATCTTCTAATTTTTCGCTCATAAAAATACTAATAATTTCCCGAGCCCGTTTTCAACTCGCCGCTCTTCTTTCGCGTAATCCACAAGTCTTCAATAGCAAGGCGCAGAAGAGTGAGGAGTTCGGAAAGCGAAGGCTGGCCCAGGGAGGGGGCCGCTGCTGGCTTGTCGGCCTCCAGGGGGCTCTG